CTCGTCCTTTCAAAAGGCTTCTTGGGAGCGACCTGGGACTCTGGGAAGAAGGTGAAGGCCTGGAGCTGCTGGAGGACTCGACTGTGCTCATCCTGGAAGATGGCAATGAGGTTCCCCTCCCTGCTGGACACCTTCAGCAACTGGAACCAGAGTAGGGTTAGGTGTCATGGTTAGGCGACAGCTGCTGCGAAGGGTGGCCAAGACCTACAGCAGAGACCACAACTCCCCCTGGGCCAAGCAGGTCTCCAAGTCCCACCTGGGATTTGCATGACGCCTGGATTTGCAGTCCTGTCTGGACCCAGCTCTGAGTGGTCCCCAAACTCATGACCTGAGATTCTCCCAGATAAATGCCCTCCTGCCCACTGTTTCAGGAGCATTCACCATCATCTCTAGGCATAACTGCATCATGACCCAAAAGTCCCTGCCCTGACAGCATCCCACAGGAGCCCTCTCCAAGACACCTGGGGGCTGGAACTGCAGCAGCAGCTTTCTCTGCAATGGGACAGGTCCTAGGGATGAGCCCTGTGGAGAGGTTAGTGCCCCGCACAGAGCCCAGAGTACTGGCCTGCTCTAGGAACCCACCGACAACAGCGGTCTCAGCTCCTCCAGGGCCAGGCGCACGAAGTCACAGTGTGCCTCGGCGTAGCCCCGCAGGCAGCTGGCAAACAGCTCCTTGGCGAAGCGCAGGAACTGGGGCAGCTCGTCCAGCAGCTGGGCATTGAGGGCCTCATAGTTGTTGCGGGCTGACTGCAGCTCCTCCAGCGTTCGCTTGTCCTTCAGCTTCTCCGCTCGCTCCGTGCAGTTGTGGAAGTCGAGGAGTTTGTCAAAGCGTTTCTGCACCAGCTTGTGGGGCCCCGCGAACATGGTCAGCAGCTGGTTCAGGGGCGAGCTCACCAGCCGCTCCGTCCGCTCTTTCTGGTGGGCAGAGTCGCAGAGAGCAGGTGAGATGAAGTGCTCTCTCCCACTATGCAGTGAACACCAGCACACAACCATCCCAGGACAGCACAGGGCCCATCTTCTCGATGGCACTCACTGGAGATCCAGAGGTCCCTTCCAATGGGAATTACTCTATAGTCTTACATAAACGTGCCGGTGTGGGCAATCCTATGGGAAGTACCTGAACCACTCACACACATACACATTTTTTTCAGCCCAGGCTGAAATGTTACAGCTCTCTAACAGGCACACTCAACACACAGCATAAACCCAAAGGTATCAAAGCTCTCAGGAGGGAGGAGCTGCACAGGAGTGCTCACACCTCTACCAAGGCTGTGTTACCCTCCCTGCAGCCTCCCATGGGCTGCCCATCTGCAGCAGGGCCCCAGGGAGGTGCCCCCAGCATGAAAGAGCTCAACCTCACTCACAAAGTTGGAGAAGAGCTGGTCGCTGATGAG